AACCCATGGTTACAAATGGCTACTATTTGTAACCATAGGTTGGCCGATCTGAGATCTGATTCCCATGAGCTGATCATCAGCGGGTCGCGCACCTGTAAACCATGACGATGGAGGCCGACCTCGTCCAAGGAACTTCCTCAGCATATACAACTGATTCACAATGTCCGGCGGAGGTATTCCAGGCGGGTTGCTAAGTATAGAAAGACGGATAGATAGCTAGCTAGCTAAGCTAGCTAGATAGGTAGATAGATACGTTGAAAGCTAGATAGATAGCTAGATAGCTAGCTAGATAGATAGCTAGATAGATAGCTACACAGCTAGCTGTTCAGATAGATAGATTGATTGATAAATATAGAGGAAAATATGTCTATTCATATCAACTTAGGTACAGATTAATATCATCATATAGCATCATATCGTGTATATTCATAATTTCGCATCTATATTATACTATGACCCCAGACCGCTACGATTGGGAACCCTTTTCCAGCCACCTTCCCAAGCAGGCTTCAGCTGGGATGCCAACAACTGTCACGGTTTGATCCCTTTTTTTTTACAACAACGATTCTGGTTTCAAATGCCTGGGCTATAACATGCTAAAGGCGCCATGGTGAAAAGTGGTGAAAAGTGGTGAAAAGTGGTGAAATAAGCCCTGTAAGTACTCTGTAAGTTGGGAAATGATAAGAGTTCACAGCTTCACTACACTTCGTGGCAACGAATAGTTCCCCTCCGGTGTCAACGTGGCTGGAAAATCCCCCATAGCCCATCTATAGGAGTCGGTGAGCGAAGCTCCGGGACCCTGAAAATCCTCGGAAGAAAAAAAACATCGTTGGGATGTTTCAAGGGAGCATCGAAACCAGACACCATTGGATTTTTGACCATCAATTCAGATTTTGTTTCCCAATTATATGGTCTTATTTCCAATGATTCATTGGAAAACCACGGGATTTGTGTTTCCATCAATGCTGGTTTATGCTGGCTTATGGAGGTTTATAAAGTTTATAACACCGTGCTTTTTCCAAATTTCCCAACTAGTTATTGTTATTGTGAAACCATAAACCCAGAAACCAGCGGAAAATAACACATTGTAAACATGGTCTGTGGCAGTCTATGGTTTATAACACCTGTTATTGTTCCATGTTTCCCGCCCCATTTCCAGCCAATGGCTGCTTAAATTTTCCCATCCATCAACCGAGGCTCCCAAGAAGTCCTTTCCGAGGACAGAGGCGTCTTCGCCCTGGCGAAGCCAGGGCTTCATCATTCGGGGAATCGCTACGGTAAAATACGTCGGAAACGCCGCGAAAGCACCATATTTAATGGAAATATCTATGGTTTCCTGTGATAGCAATGATACATACTGATACTTTACTAATACATACTAATACTGTAGATACTATAGATATGGGGATGGGTCAAGTTACCATGGAATCCCGTTCACATCAAAATAACTGGGATTTATGGATGTTCATCCCCCTAAAAATGCTGTTTATAGGTATTGATCCATAGGCATATAGCAATGAATCTATCAAGCGCAAAAAGATTAGGTTACAGACGAACTGAGTGTTTTTTTAGGGCATGGATTGCACTGTTGGAAGATACTAGGATAGAACCATTATGATCTGGAGGTTTCCTAAGTCATGGGGGGAGCCCCCAATCATCCAGTCTTCATGAATGACGATGACATAGTGACTTGAAACCCCTCCATATGGATATAGAATGTTAATGAATGATATAGATGAATATGGAGTATACTTTTGATGACCCACCAATATCCTTACATGAATGGGTGTGTCTGGAAATTGGGTATTTACCGCTAGTTTATAGTCATTTCAGGATGTGAAACTGTGATAAACCAATGGATGGAATAGGGTACCCTATTTTCAGACAAACCAATGGATCATCCATAAAGATTATTTTTTTCATAGAGCGGAAGAAATATGTTTGGAGAAAATTAAGAAAACACATTTTGAATACAAGGCGGAAAAGAAACTTTCGGAAGACAAATTTCATCAAATACGCCGAATGTCCAACACTTCATCATTACATGAACCCGTTCATTCCCTTAATTCCCTTCACCACTCCTCCCACTAAAGCGTTGAATGGTAATAAAGCAACTGTAGTTGGACCTTGGTTGGAGCACCAGATCATCATTGCTTCTATCCCCGCGGAACTCTTGAAAATCGCCATGCCTCATCGGGATATCTCATCGAACTCAAGGTCATGTTCCATAGCAAAGTGCAACAAATCACCAGAGGGATATACTCATTGTATAACCATTGTTGAATCTCCCCATGAATTCCCAATTTCGATGGTAAAATACAGTACTTCTGGTTGTATCCCCATGGAATATCCCCATTTCTATTCCAATTTTAGATGCAAAATCCCATTGAATCTCAATTTTTCATGTTTCAATCACCATTTTTTCACGGTGAAATCCCCCCTTCCATCTTCCGCCTGCCGGAGCCATTCGACGTCCGCCAGGGACAAGCCCCGGCTACTGTAGACCCTGACCTGGCCACGGGCACAGCTCCATGGCGGTAGAAAGTGTCAAAAATCTTCGAAAATGTCAGTCCAATGAGAAATAATATTGATAATGACAAAAAGAAGAAGAAGAAGAAGAAACAATAGAAATAGTAATAATATTCAGAATTAGGATAATGATAGTAAAAGTCATACTATAAAATGAAAATAGTAATAATTAATAATTAATAATTAATAATAATAATAATAATGAAAATAGTAATAACAACAATAATAATGACAATCATCATCATCATCACCACCATGACAACAGATGGTAATCATCACCCTCAGTTCAATCAATGCTCATCAGCGTTAGTCGATGTTTAATTAATGTGATAGAATCAATGGTGATCGTACCCATCATGTTGCTCACAGCATATACCTCATATTCCTCTATTCCTCATGTTCATCATAATCTTCGTAATATGCACACTCGTAATGGGTGCCCAAAATAATCCAAAATTAGACCATGTCAGTATTGAATCCAACATTTTAAGAACCCCCTATGGGACTTTGAGGAAGCTATCCATAAGGGATGTGCAGTTCCTCATGGCTGCTGGAAATATTCCACATTCGACTTGACCATCGCAAGGTGAAAGGGCAACAACGATGGCGCAGTGTAGAACGAGCTGCCTAGCTCTCGAAAAAACGACAAAGTGCTCAAGGTGTGTTAACTCATAGATGAAGGTTTCTTAAAATGGGAGTATATACCTCCAAATCATCGATTGTCTTTTTGGCTCTTCCAGACAATGAACCATCCAGCCATTGGGGATTCCCCATTTCAGGAAACCTCCCGATATTGAGCCTACGTGACTCCAATAACTATGGTTTATGCTACTTAGAACATCTTATAACGAACTAGTATTCATGGTGTTCACAAACCAACAAACATCACTGGGGGCTCCACTTTGTACGAAAGTTCCGACGCCGATTCTTCGCCATGGCCCCAAATAGAAAACAACGATGCCAGGCCGACCACTCGAGCACGGTAGAACGCATCGTGCGGGCTATACCTGTCCGCGACATGGAACCACATCAATATCTCTTTATATATAGTTTGAAAGGTGTGTATCTGTATGTGTATGTATATATATATATATTCCGAATCAATATGTATGTATGTATGTATGAATGAATGAATGAATGAATGAATGAATGTATGTATGTGTGTATGTATGTATGTATGTATGTATGTATGTGTGTATGTATGTAAATAAAGATAGATAGATACATAGATAGATACATAGATAGATACATAGATACATGGATACATAGATAGATAGACCTGATATGCCTCGAATTGGATGTTTCTTGAATTCGAAGTGTCCGATTTCAAGGAATCCTGTCCTCGTGGTACACCCACAATTTGGATCAGTTCATCCAAGGTCACAAGTTCATTGCCCGATGATCACTTCTACTTCCAAGTCGTGGTTGCAAAAAACGTCTCTACCCAGACGATCTTCTCCACTCCGTCTTTGACATAAGACCAATCATGGGAGAATATCAACGACACTTCTAACTCTCAACTGGGTTGCACCAATTTTCCATTTTTTCCCAGTTTTTTTGTTTGTTTCGTTGGTTCGATATGTCGTTTTACCCCTCCTTTCGACCCCCCGATCCCTGAGCCACGCCTTGCCAGAACCACATCGCCCGGCCACGGGTTAATTTCCCGTTCCGGAGAAACACTCGCGCCCTGGAGCCAGCAAAATTCGAAAAAATGATGCCCGGGATCATGTTCCCTCCTAATATGAAATACATTGAAATACACCCCAAATGGTTCTGAATACGTGACCCCTAATGACATCCGTTATTCCATAGGAACTAAATGGATTATTTGTCATCGTTTCTCTGTGTTCTTAGTAAAAATAATGGAAAAATACCTCAT